ATCCATATAACAAACATGAAATCAAAAATAAAATTAAATTGAGAAATAATATTAATATGTATTTCACTGAAAAAATTTATATTGAAAAAATATTTTTGCAAGTGCATGAGATGAGATAGAAAATGAAACTGTAATTATGATAAAATACAAAGTGTGTTTACTTCTTAAAATGGGTATATGTAGTATGATGTGAGTTTAGTTACCAACAGAGTGAATATAGAAGAAATAAATTTAATAATTTAATATCAAAAAATTAAATGGGATGGAAATATCCCACCCATAGGTTTTTATCTTTACCTTGTGATTGGAACGTCTGTCTAATTCTACATGCGTATTATGTATTCAAATTCTACTTTGAATTGTCCTTCATGTGATGCTTGACATTTTAAAAGCCGAGTAATATTAGATAGATTTAAAAATTAGATTTAAAAATTAGACTTGATAATTTCAACCATTAATTAGGTAGTGGATTTCAGTAAATGCTGAGACCCACAGTGAAATCAATGATTGAGGTTATCAAGTCTATTTTTTAATTTCACATAACATTGTTCTTAAAAGACTTAGCATTCATCAATATTTAATCATTAATAGTTGTATAAAACAAAACAAAATAAAACATGTACTAATGAATAGGAAGAAAGATGAATAACATACGTAACAATCTAATTAGTTTGTTTTAACGTGCAACTAGTTTTGAATGAATATTCCTACAAATCTTTGTGGCCGCCGGACAAAAAGAGTAAGAGTAATGTATATCTACTTGTTTCTTTATTTATAATATCTTCAAGTTGCATAATGGAAAGTAACATAATGCAAATGTTAAAGAGTTTTTTTGTGATGGCAAAATAGTACATTTGATAAAGTCAATGATAAAAAACACACCCTGGCAAATTTTAGCACGTGTTATTTCAAATAAAAAAAAAATTTGGTTCAATGACCAGGAGTGTTCAGACCATCTTAAGTTTACCTTGACTAATCATCTCCCCGGTCCGATCAAAGATAGATCATTTACACTGAGATTAGGGGATTCATAAAAAATAAATTTCTCATAACCTGACCCGTTATTTCAAAAATTATTGACCGATGATACACCACTAGTGACCAGTTTTGTGTGTGTTTTGTGGGGGTGGGGGGGGGGGGGGGGGGGGAGCTGGGGGAGGGGAATTTGATCATGGTATTTTCCACTTTGCAGAACTTGGGTGAGAGGTGCAGGACCAGTTGGTCTAATTCCTATGGATTACATGCTTTGGAGTTGCTTTTAATTGCTTGGTAACCATTGCTAGAAAAAACATCGTCAAAGAAAACACAAAAAAAGGATTAAGGATAACTAATTAATAGAGATACGTGATGTTATTCAAAATCTTACATAAGGTTCAAACCTCCTCTATGTTGTCCTTTCCACACACACAAAAAAAAAAAAACCAAACTAGATAATATGGTGAAGTAAATGTAAAAGCTTTAACCCAAAAAGCCTTCCCCCCAAAAAAAAAGTTTCAACCAAAACAAATCAAGATTAAGAGAGAATTATTTGAACCAATAACAGGATATTTATTTATTTATTTATTTTGGTGTTTTTTGGGTGTGAGTATATTTTTTTAACCTTATTTGAGAAGAATTATATGAAGAAATATTTTACTCTATTAAATTTAATTTTATTAAAATATCTTGTAATTAGGTACAAAATTCAAATGACATTTGAATTTTTTTTATTTACTTACATTTCCTTTAATTATTCATAATTCTATTTTTTCACACTCTCTCTTTCTCTCATATTTCTCACAATGTTACTCTCTCTCCTATTTTTCCTTTCTCTCTAGCCCCCATCAATAATTTATTTTCTTTTCAGATATGTAAAAATTTGATTTATTTTTTCATCTCTCTCTTATTTTCTCTCACGCTCTCTCTCTTTATATCAACGTTACAAACAATATAATTACACTAATCAGTTATACTAATTAGTTACAATTGTCCTATAAATACACCAAATAGTTACTAATGGTAAACTTTTTTGTGTAATGCTAAATCTAATTTTTTGTATAATTGGTGTAATCATATCGTGATAGTAATTGGTATAACACTTTAGTTTATGTAAACAATTAAATGACAAATTTAGTTAGTGTTGTAATTTCGTGTAACTGCTTGTTGTAATTATTTGATTTATTAGAACACATGACTAACTGTTTCATGTATTATAGGATAATTACAACTAATTGGTGTAATTGATTGATATAATTGTGTTATTGTAATATTGATATAAGAAAAGAGAGAGAGAATAGGGGAGAGAGAGATGAAAAAATTAAATCAAATATTTATATATTTGAAATGAAGATAAATTATAATGTGAGAGGCAAGAGAGAGAGAAAAAAATAGGGGAGAAAGAAATGATAGGGGATAGATAGAGAGAGTAACAGAGAGACATAGAGAGAGATAAAATAGAGAGAGTGAGAGAATAATGGAGTAATGAATAATAGTTTAGTCTTTTTATAAAAAAATGTACTTAGAGCCAAATAAGTTTCTTTAATTTAGTTTAGCTCAATTAAATCTAAATTTTTGTGTTGTCTTTTAAATTTCCCTTCTTTTTTTTTTTTTTTGAAAGGGGGACACCAAAGTCCATAAAATATGGACTTGCGAGTAGGCCCAACAATCACGGTGTGGGCCGCAACAAAGAGAATGGGTTTCCATAATTCTCAGAGCAAGGTTTGGGCATTTTCTAGATAATTAAAGACTGAGCTAAAGAAAACGGGATTTGATGTAGCAGCTTTGCTTATCACCATTATGTTAAGTTTTCTTTACCGTTGTGTTAAGTTAGGTTTGCCAATAGAGTGCATGAATGTTTCCAATGGGGTGGTGTTGTTCCCACATACTTAAAGACAATTCCAATTTTTTTTTTTTAATGTTAACACCAAAGGTTAGCATAATATTGTTCCTTATCATTATGTTAGTTTAGTGTAGGGGTGTTCACCCTACCCTACGAGTAGGAAATATAGTCTTTCATCTTTCTACTCAATGCTTTGTGGAATAATTTTTTCTTAGTCTACCCTACCCGATCAGGTGTGGTATTCCTACCGGATTTCCTACCCGATTAATCGGGTAGGAAGTCGAGTAAATATATTTGTAGCTATTAATTTTTTGATCATCTAATAAACCTCTTGTGGGGGTAGAGGAGTTCAAATATATATATATATATATTTTTAGAGAAATCGATGGTTGTTTTATTGATAAAGAATATTAGAAAATAAAAAAGACATTCGAAACTCGGGTGTCTGCTCCTGCCAAATAAAAGCATTCTCAATGAAGGACACATGTTTCGCCAAATAATTAGCTACTCTATTTACTATTCTATGTACTACATTCAGCTCTACGCTATGAAATTTTCTTAAAGAATTACTGATAATTTATATGCCATCAGCCGTGGATTCTTGTTCACCAACACTTGCTCTGACGACTTCCAGCAGCTTAAGAGAATCACCTTCCCATAATAACTCCATCAAACCTAGTTGGTGGACAAACTTGACTGCTTCCTTCATTGCAGCAAATCATCCAACGTTGGATTAGGAATACCACAAACTCACCAGTATGATATCAAGACCTTGATGGATGTTTGGGTTGAAGAAGCTTGTATGAATGATTTTATGGATGGAGCTAAGTTGCCATGACAGTTTCGCTTAATAACATTCTAGCAATACATGTAGACTCGATTCCGAGTCCCTCTGACAAACTTGGCATAAGTCATCCTCCTTAATCTTTCTTCGTCTGAGGTTTGCATTGGTGGATAAGCCATTCAAGCAGAACCTCCACAGAAATATCTTAACTTTATTTGGAACCTTTTGTTTCCACAAGAAATTCTAGTCCACCCTTGGGCAGACTTCGTATTTGTCTTTACCAGATTATGCTCAATTATCATATGGTAAGCACTTTTCATCGTGAAATGTCCATTCAGATTGTAGTGCCAAATTAACTTGTCAACTCTCATAACATGATGGAGAGGAATCTATTTGATAGACGCAACCTCGTGGAGTAAGAAAATGGAGTCTATCGCCTGAACATTCCAACATTGCATATCTTGATCAATAAGCTCACTTATCTTGGCCTTAGTTGGTAATGAATTCTGAGGAGTGATTACTCTGAATTTACGAGGAATGGGAATCCATCTATCCAGCTAGATGCTAACATTTCTGCCATCTGTAATACTCCATCTCGACCCTGCTTCAATTATCCTTCATTCGCCATGTGAATGAGGGTTGATCACCTAGCTTTACCTCCATAAAGGTTGTCGAGGGGAAGTATTTGCTTTTCATCACTTTTGTGAAGGGGAGTGTTTTTCTCATTGCAAATCCTTCATGCTTGTTTAGCCAGAAGTGCCAAATTAAATGCTCTGAGGTACCGAAAGCCCATACCACCTCTTTCCTTGCTTTTGCACATAGTTTCCCAACTCACCCTGTGTACTTTTCTTTCACCATTCTTTTGTATCCACCAAACATTTGAGGTTAGCAATTCGAATTCTTCACGCAAGTAGTCAAGAAACTTGAAGCAGCCCATGAAATATGTGGGGATGGATTGAGTAACTGTCTTGATGATGACTTCTTTGTTGGAAAAATAATATTAAACATGACTTTTCATGTTTCAGGAGTTATTTTTATGCATTTAGTTTGTGTATTAGTGGGTCATCAATTTGGTATTAGTGGAGGACAAAGTAGTTGTGGTATTTTAATTCTCCAAGTAATGGAGGAGTGGAGTCTTTTTTATTTTTATTATTGCATTATGTAGTGAGGTTATTTTGTATGTCAAGAGAGTCTATATATATCCTATGTAATACATCCATTTGGATATGAGTGAATACAAAGAGTTCTTCCAATCTTCAATAATCTCTCTCATTATATTTTTTTGTGAGTGTGTGATAGTCCTCTAGATTCCAACATTCTTTCCCTATGCTTGAGAAAAATTGTTCTTTCCACTCTTGAACGGTCAACAATCGTATGCAGTTCAAGGTATTTATCGCGTTATTCCACTAGTTGTACACCCAAAATACCTTGGATCTCCAAAGCTTTATATTCTGGTGTATTACAATTGCAAACCATTGTCGACTTCTCATTGTTGATTTTCTGACCCGAAACTGTTTCATAAATTTGGAGTATGTTCTTCACTACTCTTGCTTCCGAAGCATTGGCACCGAGAAAGAGGAGGCTATCGTTGCCAAAGAAAGGTCTTGCGGGTCCTGCCCCCTTTTTTGAAGTCGCTCTTTCTAAGAATAAAGAAAGATTTCATATGTAAATAAAGTAATTTTGCTCTCCTCCAAGTTCATCTTACGAAGTAGGATCTGGGAATTGAGAAGAAGGGGAAGGAACTCGACTCTACTGATATGACACCTTCAGGCAAGGGGTTAGAATATGAATATCCCACGAAATAGGGGCTATCACCCATAAATTTATCCTTTTTTGTGAAGAGAAGACTTTGCGTAAAGTCTAATATTAGTCTAGTACGTGAGCATGGTAATATTGCAGTGATCTATTGGGACAAATGAGATATTAAAAACAAAAAATTTCTTTTATTTTTATACTTGACTTCATTTTTTAGTTTGATAAACAAAATTCACATGATTAACTTAAATAAATTAGTTTAGTGAAAACAAAGGCTGAGACATAAATCTACAAAATCTTGAGTTCTAATTTCTTTGATCACTTGTGTCTAACAGAGAAGTGCAATTAGCATGTGATTATGTTGCTTGAAGAAGTTACTTTTTCTTCTAAATTCTTAACCGTTCCCAAAAATAAAATCACTTTGTTTTGGTGCATCCCCATCCCAACTCCAAGAAAACTAAGAAAAAAAAAGAAAAAAGAAAAAACATTTAGTATTTATTTCATTTAAATTCTTACGCATCCCCCAAACAGGGTGGTTTTCTGTATTTCAGATAAGATGGGGCCATTTTGTTATTATGGAAGTGATTTTGGGTAGGGTCATGCAATTTTTCGAACGAATAGGATACACATGAGGCAGCAAACACCGAGTCTTCGATTTGAATCTTTTAGCCCCTGGGACAAGCAAGTGGGCAAGAGAGAGAGAGAGAGAGAGAGAGAGAGATAGAGGTTTCTCTATCAATGGCTCTTCGGACAATCCTGAAGAGAAAAGGCATAGCAAGAAACCTACTAGGGTTAGGTTTAGGAAATGTGAGGGAATCGTACACCTTCTTGCTTCCGGATCTTCCTTACGTTTATGGAGCACTGGAGCCCTTCATAAGCAGAGAGATAATGCAGCTTCATCACTAGAAGCACCACCAAAACTACGTCACCTACTTCAACTAAGCTCTCAAATAGCTCAACGACGCGTAGGACAAAAGAGATGCTTACACAGTCGTGAAATCGCAGAGGGACATCAAGTTCAATGGTGGAGGTTCCATTCTCTCTCTGTCTATCTCAGCAATTATACAAACATACATATATATATATGTTTTTGTGTGTCAGTGTGTAAACTCTTGATTTCAAGATGTAGTACAGAAGGACGTAGAAGGAGCCTAATAAAATTGGTCAGAAAACTACTATATGAAATAAAATTAAAGAAAGAAAAAGCAAATTTGAGTCAGCTAAGACGATAAGTGTTTGGTGCCATTAATTAATTACTAATGGTATGTTGAACGTAGATGAGCAGAATGTTAATATGTATAAAAGTGGGGTTGGATCTGAGCTAGTACGCTCATGAAAATAGTATCATTATAGGGGATGATTCACACAGTGAAATTATAGTGGTTCACCAGTTCGGGAGCTCGGCTAATCCACTGTTCAATGAAATCTCTTGCTCCTGGAATCTATATTGATAGTTTTGAATTGATTACAAAATATTTTTCATACAATCTTGGACTACTTCTCCTATAATGAGGACTATGCACAATATTTATAGCCTAACTCCTAACTTTATGGGATCCGAGGTGAGATCTTCGCCTCTCCTCCATAATATCTTACTTGATTTCAGAAGAAGGTTTTGGGCAGTTGAGGATCTTGCACCTAAAATGATGCTTACTGCAGTTGTGGGCATTTCTGGTGGCTTCTAGCTAGCTCCTTCTAATTTCCTTTTGGGTGTAGCTCGAGGAAGACCCAAGGTTTGGACCTCTAAGGTCAAGCGTTGTTGGTTGAACTACTTGACTGACCTCAATTCCCGAACTCAAACTTGTAATTTCTTTTAGGTATTATCAGTTGCCCCCCAGTTTCTGGTCAAAGTGAGTTTAAGCTGGGGCTGAGCTCCAGTTGGGTCGAGCTAAGCCTTTAGATGAAGACCTCGATTTGCGTATGAAGAGACCCTTTTGATGGTTTTTTGCAATTATTTTTTCCTTGTTTCTCGTGCACATTTCGTACTTCAAAGACCCACGTACACGAAGTTTTAAATACTCCTGTGGCAATGGAAACCGCTCCACTTTCTCATCTGCCATCTCTCTCTAAGCTTTGCCCTATTATCTTCCTTTGCAATCTTAGCTTTCTCAGTTCACCTAGGATTTTTCTGAAGAAAACCTTCCCAATTTGACTTCAAAGATTTTGCGAGGCTTGCTTTCCGATCCTATTTTGGGCTTTGGTTCATCAACCCACCTAATTATGTATGTTCTTTAACTCTTGCTCACTTCTTCGTTCTGAATCCCTTGAATCCAAGGTGGTTGCTACACTTTTGGTACTTTCGTTTTTGTTATTTTAGGAACCGAGGTTATTTCTTGTCTTCCCTTCCCCTGTTTCTAGATCGTTAATCTACTGCTAGGATCTTTCTTGTTGGTTCCCCTTCGACCCTCAAGGACTGTTTTGCAGAAGTTTCCCCTCTTTATAGATCTTTCAGGCTACCTTTTTCCTGTTCAATTATGTCTACCTCCTACGAAGCTACAGCCTCCTTGGTTTCCCTCATGGGTAACAGGTCTGTTGAAGAAGACGTCGATTTGGGGGAAATGTGTGAGGAGATTGATAACTTTTCTGATGTCAATTATGTCGGCGTTGAGGAAAGTGCTGAGATGCCTCCCTCGTATTCCTCCCCCATGCCTAAAAAATCCAATAAAGGTAAAGCCAAAGTGAGCGGTGTTGGGATTTCTAGCAACGTTGATGGTGTGGAGGCTGCCCCTAGAGCTTCAGACCTCGTGGGTTCCAACGAGGTCACATTTTCTTACATGAAGGTCTTATCTGCTTGCTTTGATTTTCCTGGGGGTTTGAAGTACTGGTGTCCAGACAAGGACATTCTCTATGATTCCCTTACTCACAAAAGGTCTGTTTCTTTGTGGCTACTCTTGAGAACGACCTTCATTTTTCTCTGCACCCCTTTCTTAAGAGTGTCCTACAACATTTCAGTGTTTACCTTGCTCAACTCTCTCATAATTTTTGGGATATTTGGTGGGCCTTCTTGTTTTCTTTAAGAAACACAATCTTGGAGTTCCTACCGTGTCTTTACTCATGAAGTTCTTTAATGTCAAGAACCTTCCTTCCGATGGCTTCTTGTATATTTATGTTGAAGTATAGTCTAGTTTATTAGGATTTCTTTTTCCTTTTTACCCTTACTATGACTTTTATATTTTGTCTAAATTACAAGGATGTTTATGTCACTTTGTATTATTATTATTTGACTATATATACGGGGCTCTACTCGTAGTTTGAGTATCCCTTTTCACTCAAATTCATCTCAAGTTGGTATCAGAGCTACTAACCGTAACCCTAACCCTAGCCTCCGCTAAATATCGCAACCAGCAGCAGCCTCCACTCCACCGACTGCTTACCAGTAGCAGTCTTCACAAGGCCAATCAGCAACTCCATTACCCCCCAGCAGCATCCCAATACCCAGTAATCTTACTGACAAACAACACTAAACCCAGACAAACAACACAACACAACCCACCAACAAACAACACAACATAAACACCCAACGACAAAACATACTGCCATACCAGCCCACCACTCCATCAGCGAACTAGACATCATCCACCGACTGCCCATTATTTTTCAGCCCATCCACTTAGCAGCCAAACTCCACTAACTACCCATCCTTTGTAATACAACATAATAATAATAAAAAAAGAAAGCAGACCAGCCCACTACATCGAAAAACCAGCCCACTACCTGTAAATCCAAACCCACAAACCCAGACTATAAAACCTAGACAACAAACCCATTGCTCAATTTTGTTCAGATCATAATAGTTGTTCCGTCTTCTAGCGCTTTCGTACGTCTCGCTCTTCATCGTAGTGCCTCCATCTCTTTGCGTCACGGCATTTTTTCCTAGAGTTGCAGCTTCTAGGATTTTTTAAGAGGGGTTGAATCCTTTTTTTTTATTAATCTGCCCTTGATGCAGTAGATCACTTATTTATATATTTTAGATTTCTGGGCACCGTGACCTAATTATTTGGGAGCTTTCTGGACCTTCTTTATTTATCGATACTGATCGACTGAAGGTATATTGTTCTCCCTTATTTTATTCCTCTATTTATTTTAGAGTTATTTTTCTATCACGGGTGCCCTAGTATTGTTGTTGATATGCCTACTACTAAGGGAGTTGAGACCCCTACCGTTGAGACATGTGTTAGTACTTCTACCGGGTATAGGGGTCGACAGCGCTCGGCCCAGCGCCGTCAGGGTACCCCACATCAGCGTATACATGAAGATTCTCTTCAGTGTGATTATTGTAGCCGACTAGGACATCTCAAGGATGCTTGTTGGAAGCTATATCCAGAGCTTAAGCAGTCGTACTGCTGCCATTGTTGAGGCACCAACACCTACAGTCATTGCTCCTGCTACTACTATTACTGCTCCACCTTGGCAGAGTGATATGGATGCTATCACTTCTTGCTTGAATATACTTATGTCAGCTCTGACCTCTCAAGGTTCGACTACTACTGTTGCGACTACTACAGGTATACCTCGTGCCTTTCATACTTGCGCCAGTTCGTCTCCCCTTTGGATGCTGGACTTGGGTGCGAATGGTCATATGACAGGTGAGGCCCATCATTTCACTTCTTTTAACGATCAGTCACATACTCAAGTTCAGTTAGCAGATGTAACACATACTCCTATTGTTAGTAGAGGTACAGTTCGCCTTCCAAATGGCTTTACATTACGTTCGGTGTTTCATGTGTCAAAGCTAGCCATGAATCTATTATCTGTACATCAATTAGCCAGAGATTTTCAATGTGCAGTTGTGTTCTTATCTGATTCATGTTATTTGCAGGACTTGAGTACTAGGAGGATTATTATCGGGGGATATGAGAGAGATGGACTATATTATCTAGGCGATCTACCTCCGATTTCACTAGTTTTTCCACCTCCACTTTCATCTCCTGCTTTGTCTGTATCTGTTCCTAGCTTGCATGCTAGTATTTTATCTAATACTTGTCGTTATGATTTTTTTATCATCAACTGTTCAGTTGTGGCATGACCGTTTTGGACAAACAAATTTTAAATATTTATGTATGT